TCTTTCTTGTAGCAATTCCCTCTCAGTCACATACCTGACTGAAAGGCTCATTATGCAGCTCATTATTAAGGCCTTTGTCTTCTCAGGTGTGAATCACAGCATTATGCATGAACATTCACGCCTCCTCGCATATACCTTTTCTACACAAAAAGTGTCTTATAAAATTTAAATCAATATATTGTTTTCTGTGAGTGAGTAAACAAGATGATTTTCACATCATTTTGAAGCAAAAACTCTAGACTTCAAGATCCAGTTCTCAAAAGTCTTGTGAACAAATGTTCTGTATGTGTTTTATGGCCTTATTTCAGTGACTTTAAAATTTTAGTTTTTCCACTAAGCACGCATAAGCGTTGTTTTCTCAAAAACACAATCACGTACATAACATGCTGCTCACATATTATTGTAGCTCAGTTTGTGCTGATTACAGTGTCATTAAACTTTAGCCATTAAAATGTTTTTAAGCAACTGGTAAAAGCACAAATGTCAGCATGTCAAAACTTCTCCAGGGCCCCAAAACACCCTCGGACTCCAGAGGGTTAAAGGGATAGTTCACCCAAAAAACCTCTCTCTCAAATGGACCATTGACACTCTATCTACAATCTCAATTAGGAGTGTCAATGGTCCATTTGAGAGATAGGTGGCGGTAATGCACTTATAAGTCTGCGATCCGCCGTAAAGCAAGAAGAAGAAGATGCATCACGCGCCGGCTGTCGAGGACCGCTCAGGACAGATCAGGCATTGCAGTGCATCAGAGGTAAAAAATGATATAAATACTGTTCAGGTTCTTGCACAGACCGATCGTTTCGTGTCTTTACACATCAGTGTATCATCACGAGCCGCAGGGTTTAATTTGGTTTTGTTTGTGTTTTTTTTTTTACTATCAAAGCTGTGATTCCCATTCACTTCCATTATAAGACTGACAGACTGCAATGGTTTGAGTTAAAATTATTTGTTTGTATTCTACTGAAGAAACAAAGTTACCTACATCTTGGATGCCCTGGGGGTAAGCAGATAAACATCGGATTTTCATTTTTGGGTGAACTATCCCTTTAAAGCATCCTTGCTAAATAAAAGCATTAATTTCTATAACCCCTCCAACCCCCGATTACATTTTTAAATATATTAAAATAGAAAGCAGTTATTTCAAATAGTAAAAATATTTTTAAATGTTACTGTTTTTGGATCAAATAAATGCAGACTTGGTGAGCAGAAGAGACTTCTTTAAAAAAAAACATTAAAAATCTTACTGTTCAAAAACTTTTGACTGGTAGTGTAGGCTGATTATTCTTATAGATTGAAACAAATGTGCTTCAGCCAGGATAAAGAGTAAGAAAAGTGCTCTGAAGTGCTGCAGAAAACAAAAAGATTGAGCAACAACAGAAACATGTTGCTGGAGACGGGCTTATTATTGAAAATGCAAACTGATTCTCTGCCAGCAGGAGGTGCTTTAGAGCTGTAGAAACAGCTTTTTCCACAGTAACGGCTGTAATCAAAGCAGCTCCGCTCATGAACGCTTCTTTATCAGATAAAATGAAAATGACATCGAAACTTTTCTTAAGACAGTCGGTTCCCTTCAGAGATACATTTGTATAAAACACCCGCGCCGCATTCTGATTTTGAAACGTGCAGTGCTCATGTTTATTCAACGAAGTAAAACGCATGGGAAACACTGGTAATATATATCGAAATATCGTAAATGTGTTTAAAAATCATATAACCGTTATTGAAAAAAAATGATATCGCTATACATATTGATAGTGAATTATTGTCCAGCCCTAGTTTCTAACAAACTATAGTTTGTTACAATGGAAAGAATGTCAGGGAAGCACATCTCTGCAAGAAAAACAGTTAGTTTGACAATCAGAAATGTAATTTGATATTGTGATTTGGGGTTTGTTAGGTGTCATTACAAAATTGAAGAATTGTAATATTTTAATAATAAGTTATTTTATTTTATGTTTGTTTGTTTAACTGGGACAATAAACTAGTGCTGGGCGGTATACCGGTTCATACCGAATACCGGTGTTTATTTTTGTTGTGATATGAATTTTTAAAATACCGCAATATGTCGCTTAAACAACGTTCGGAACGCGACACTGTTTGAAAGGGGTCCCTTTTCACATTTTAAATGAATAATAAAAACTGAGATAAAAAATGTACTTAAGCCAGAATTTAAATGTTACTATGGTAAAATAAATATTCAAACCACGTGTGTTACAACTAACACCCCGTTACTTTGTGCATCGCACTCATAGCAAGTTTATTGTTAAATTGTTAAATGCCCTTACATATCTCTGTCACCATTATAAGTGTTTGATCACCACATTTGAGTGATCATTGCAAAAAATGTGTTTATGTATATATATTCTGTTTATGCATATACTGTATTCTATATATAGTACCAGTCAAATGTTTGGACACACGAATGGGAAAGTGTCCAAACTTTTGACTGGTACTGTACTATAATATACACAAAGAATATCGGCCGATATATCGGTATCGGCCTTTTTTTACTCCCTAATATCGGTATCGGCCCCAAAAAACCCATATCGGTCGGGCTCTAATTTCAATTCCATTTGAATTTTGTGAGGGTTGGAGCAGGACGCGGAGAAAGTGCAATAACAAATAGGTGATTTTCTATTGCTATTCCAAAATGACAGGGTCATTTTGCAATAACTCGTAAGACATTGGAAACGCAATTGCAAATGGACTTCGCATTTCCATTTAAAATCTGGCAGACATATTACATACACAGAAAAAAAAAAAAAACGAAACATAAATACATGATTTGCAATTGCGTTTGGATTATGTCTCAATGTATGCGTCTACAGATTGAAAACAGCAACTGCAAATACATTTTGCAATTCCTTTTGAATATTGTCCAGAATATCATTCCATATATGTTAGCAATTCTCAGGCTTATCCAATTAAAAAAAGGTGCCATTACATCACACAATATTTATAATTCACACCATCACACATCATACAGTCACAAAAATCACTATTATATTAATAATTTTATTATTCATATAATATATTTCAATATTCAATATATTTTATTGTTTTTCCATTTCATTTCATACCTGTGTAGCAATGAGGTAGAGCAGCTCACCCAGGGGTGGAATCAAGCATTGTTTCAATTTACTGCTCCTGAAGTTCTCTCGGATCAGTTCTGTGAACATGGCCACTGCCTAAGGAAAAAAACAACACACAAATTTGGCTTCTGTAGCTAATAAATAGTTTTCATTTATAAACATTCTAAATTAATTAAATGTACAGTTCACCCAAAATTCACCTTCACAAGCAAGCACACTTGAGCTATTATTTATCATATTAGATGAGCTCTATGTATGTGCGTTGATCATAGACTGTAAAAAAAGATGGACGACGCGTCTCCTATTCCTTACACTATAGAAAAGTGAAGCCAAAGCATCTCAGTATGGCCGCTGCCATCTTGAGTAAATGACGTCATTTGGAGCCAGAGTCTGCGCAGTAGAGATTGTTTGGAGCCAGAGTCTGCGCAGTAGTGTCGTGAGGTGGAGCCGAGGTATCAAACTCCCACCCAAACTCCCGCAGACCCAATCAACATAACGACACGCCCCGTTTTTATAGCATCAAATTACTAGCTAAAATCAAACTCATCACAAAAACGAACAAATTGAACATACAGGTGCATCTCAATAAATTAGAATGTCGTGGAATTGGTCTTATGAAGTATTCTAATTGAGATAGTGAATTGGTGGGTTTTTGTTAAATGTGAGCCAAAATCATCACAATTAAAAGAACCAAAGACTTAAACTACTTCAGTCTGTGTGCATTGAATTTATTTAATACACAAATTTCACAATTTGAGTTGAATTACTGAAATAAATGAACTTTTCCACGACATTCTAATTTATTGAGATGCACCTGTATATCAGCGTGTTGACAACTACCTTAAATTACCAAAACCATCTTTTGGAAAATTGTATTGGAAGTGTAATTATTTTTTATTTTTTTTGACTCAAGTCCCATATGTTTACATGGAGAGGGCAGGGTTTATGACCTGTACTGCAGCCAGCCACCAGGGGGCGATCAAAGAGCCCGCAGCTTCACTTTTCAGGATGTGTGAGGCACACCCGGCATTGATCAACATTTCCATGTGAATATAATCTCTAAGTCACACAAAGCAACTGTAGCTATGTTTCCATCCACCTATTTTTATGTGCATTTTGGAATATCACATAAAAAAAAAAACGCTGGATGGAAAGGCCAAGATGCGCATAAATTCTAAAAATGCGCATAAAAAACATATGCGCACATTTGAGTAGGATAAACTTCTTATCCGATAAGAAAAAAATTGCATAAACTACGTTGGAAACACATTTACCGAATAAATTCCTCCATGCACATCTTCTATTAGAGCGTGCTATTTCTATACAGTTGAATTTCTACATTTGCCTGCCAGTTCCACATGTTGTATTATGCTTTGAAAACTGCTTGTTTTTCAATAGACATTTAACTTGGGTTTATCTTGAATAGTTTGTATTATCCATCTCATGTGACTTTGCGCTATGAGACGGGATAACTTGACTAACCAGCGGACCGATCTCGTTCACAGCATCTATATGTTGTTATGGTCATTCTGAAATGCCTGAGCAAAGTCTGTCGTCAAAGTATTTCTGTATAATTGTCTTACACGACTGTGTTCCCAAACAGCTGGCATCCACCTCCGAAAGCAATGACTGCATTTTGTCTGCTCGCTCTGAGGCGCAAGTAATTTATCATATATGAAAATTATTATATTCAGTAGCTTCTCCAAGTTTTCTTAGTAATATTTAGTGCCAGTTTACCAGGAAGTTACGATTTAGTTCTCTTTGACTCGTGATTAAAAACATGTCCATTTGTATTCCAACGATTAAAGAAAAACTGTTTTTAATATGTCATCGGGCTGAGTTGTGTTCCTGTGTCTATATTTCCAACAAGACACTGGACAAGATTGTTTTAATATACAAAAGAGAGAAATTTCTTACTATAGAGCATTTGATTAGATGTCATGAGTTCAAGATGACTCATCAGGGGTTTTCTGCTTTTTTTTTTTTTTAAACAGGTCTCCACAGATCTCTGGCCTTAAAGGGGTCATATGATGCCGCTAAAAAGAACATTATTTTGTTCTGAGACAAGATGATTTAAAAAAAAGCAGGATTACCTTAATGCTGGAAAGCCTTAAGTTATTTTATACTAGCCCATCATGTATCTAACCATCCAAGTGCACATTCGGTGCTAAGAGCTGTTAAGATTAAAACTGGCAACTCCGCAGTGAGTCAGTGTCATGGACGTAGGACAGAGCAAGTGTAGATATATTTTCTAGTCTATATTTCCATCTTGTAATGCCACTGTTTTAGGTATTTTTTTAAAAATATATAAATGATTTGTAATAGAGCAGACACTGTCTGGCCGTGTCTACACAGGACGCGAGAGTTGTCGTGCCGCGCCCTGCTGCGCTAAAAGTCTGTCTACACTTGACGCGACAAAGCGACAGTTGCAAATCATTTGAACGTAGTGTTGGTACAGTTCGTCATAAATAGAATGAGGCATCAGTTCACTGATGGGGATCGTGTCGCATCGCCGCATCCAGTGTAGACAACATCACTGGGTTCTATTGTTTTTTGTCGGATCGCGCCACTCGCGTCCGGTGTAAACATGGTGTGAGTTTTTTTAATGGGTTATGTTATAGCCCTGCTTGTTTTTAATGTTTTTATGAAATATCTGTATTGACTGCATGATCATATCATCGTATTATTTA